CCCCAAAACCCCAAAACCCCAAAACCCCATATATTTAAGGTATCAATAAAATATTTAGAATAAATAATGAAATCAGGATCTATATTTTGGTTAAATCCAAGCTCTTGAGTTGTTATCTAAAATAGAACTTTGAGAAAATTAAATTTCTCCCCTTGTGGGTCAAAATTGTTGCTAAATCTCTCCTTGATGCTCTGGACACTATCTTGGTTTTCAATCTGGTGTACAGTTTCTGAAAAATCTTTGGATTAAAGTTGCTCTTTGACTGGCTAATACCAAAAAATTATCATAAATCTCACTTATGAAGGTTTTACTGCTAAGGGATCTTGAATAAATCTGAATTTTATAAATTCTGTCAGTAATGTTTAAAACTACATATTAAAACTGCATTTTCAAATGCTTTCTGCTGAACCATTTCAATCAAAATAACGATTTATCGAAATTACTATTATTGCAATAGGCACAGAAGATCTCTGTTATTCATAAATGGAGAGCTGACATTTTTTGACTCTCCAAAATGGCTTACAATCAGGACTACTCATCAGTAATATCTAAAGGCCTTTGGTATTTATCAATTATAATATCTTGAAAGCCAAAAGTTTCAAATGAAATCATTACCAGTTTGAAATGCTAGGCATGCAATATCTTCCCTTGAGTCATTTCTCAAACCCTAAAAGACACGTAATGGAACCGGTCAAGAAGGTTGTGCCAAGCTCATGGCTACTCTAAAGTTCCTCCTCTATCATAATTCGACTAAGATCGGTAAAATATTTGAGTCAGTTTACCAATGATGAGCCACTTCTTTTTAGCCTTCTTCTTAGACTTGAAAAGGACTTGGAGCTCCTTCTTGTCAATTTTAGAATTAGAGTTTTCTTTAGCCTTGATCTTGTCTTTGATCTTTTGAGACCTTTCCTTTTCTTGCTACATTATTTCTTCTTCATTGTCTTACCATTGCTGTTGCCTCTAGGGTTTCCTGCTTTAATACAGGCTCTCTTTTTCCTCCAGAATTCCATTTTGATTAAGAGAAGGAGGTTCAGAGTGGAGTTCAGGAAGTACCAGAATAAAGCACAGATTATGCTTATAAGTAGAAGAGTTAGGACCAGCCTCATAAGTAATACCAAAATATATATGTTAGTTTGTAGACTCAGTTTTTGGAGTTTTATCTTGTTCAGAAAAATTATGAAGTTTCTCCTACTTTAGTGACTCCATTTTGCCTGAGATTTCTTCATCCTTGGGAGTTTTACCTTTGATTTCATACAATTATCCAGAATAAACTCCCACGTAATAAAATTTTGTGTTTTCTCAGATTCCTTCTTTGTGACATTTCCCTGCATAGTTTTCTTTGTTTTTAGGATCAACAATGGAAGTGTCGGAGCATTGATAAAGTATTTCATATCCAGGGACTTTATACACCTATTCAAGCGTTCAATAAGGACAACTTATTTCAAAGAATCTTTAAATCAATAAATATTACTTATTTTGGGGTTTTGGGGTTTTGGGGTTTTGGGG